TGGTGGTGGAGATGGGGATGGCAGTGGTGGTGGAGATGGGGATGGCAGTGGTGGTGATGGTGGTGGAGATGGGGATGGTGGTGACGGTGGTGGCGACGGGGATGGCAGTGATGGTGAGGACAGTGGTAGTAGCGGTAGAGGGGTAATGGTAATGGGGTGACAGCGGCAGTGGTACCGGTACGGTGGTGAAGATGGTGGTGGTAGTGGTGGTAATAGGAATAGTGTTGATGGTAGTGGTGACCCTGCAGTGGGGGTGGGGGTGGCATGTGGAGTAAATGACTGCTAATGGAGTCATTCAAACCCTGAGAATTCATGGCTCCATAAAGAGCTGTCAAATTTCTTTAAATTCATAAACAACTACAAGGAGCTCAAATCGAAGATAAACCATTTTAAGTCAATATAGCCTCTTCAGAAAAATACGGATAATTTTTTTTTTTCAAGTAATTAACATGGCCTCCAAGGAGTTTTTCCTTTGCACACCCTCCCCCCTGACGGTTTCAACTTTTCCTCCAGAAAGGGTTTCTGGAACCCTATAATTAGGGCTTGCCCCTGCATGACACCCACTCCCTGCACATTGGAAACAAAACTAAACTCTGCTGAAGGGAATGCCATTATGACTGATGGATCCTGAGTTTCTCTACTTAGTCACCCTGAACAGTCTTACAGAAACTGTCAGACCAAGATCATTGCTGCTGGTATGGAAAACCTCAGAGAGAGACGTGGGGATTGAGCGATGGTGAAGATTCTGTTAACCAATTGTTCATCTGATGAACACAGAAATACGAGGATGCCCCAGAGTTTCAGCACAATTTTCCTGCCACCTGAGAATCCCCTTTTCAGAACAGTACTCCAAGATCCCATCTTCCTAAGCCCTCATTAAGCCCCATAATTTAGCTAAGCCCGCCTTGAACTTGTCTTCCATTTCAGCTTGCATGAGCTCTGGGGCAGGAATCCCACATGTAGACGGCCTGCGATACAAATGACTTGCTTTGATTTATTCTAAACACAACCTCCTCCAAGCTTGGAGGAAGCCCTCGTTTTCCCAGGCAGGCTTGCTGTGTCCTCTTTCCCTTCATCTTTCAAGATTATTCAGAGATTAAAAAGTGACTGTTACAATTTTCATGTTGATTAACTTAATTCTGGACCCTAAAGAAACCAGGACGGTTCCCAACACAGGCTGGAAAAGTGGGTTAAATAAGCCCGTCGCTGGATGAAAATGTTCCCTGCTTTCACTTATTGCTTCTGAAAGTTAACAAGATTTGAAGCAGAAGCCTTGGGAGCCTCCAGCTTTGCATATAGAGGAGGCTGCAGCAGCAGCAATGACAGAATTTAAACTTGAGAAGCAGCTCTTGGTTAAAAATGAATGCTGCTTACTTCAAATCCCCTCTGGTAGCACATCTTCCAAAGAAAAAGAAATGGTGCTTATTAGCGATTTGAGGCTAGAATTTCGAGGCTTTCTTTCTGTCAAACTCAGAGCTAAATACTTTTTTATTACTCTTATCTTCATCTTGCCGAGAATATTACGCCCTTAAATAAAGAAGATTCTTTATCTGTTTAGACCAAGTGATACAATTAAGTCTGGAAGACAGTTAAAATTCAAGCAAGCCAGCCTAGCTTGGGAGGCTTGTTCAAGGTGGCCATGCAGGACTTTTGCATCCCGAATTTCTAGAACTTACATGCTGCTGCACAGCCCCTGCAAGTTCTCACGCCTCTGCCCAGCCAGGGATATGAGACAAACGTTCTGGAAAAGGCCCTCTTACCTCGGGTTCCCCACAGTCACACTCCTCTCCCTCTTCCACATATCCATTGCCACACTTCTGGCCCCCAAAGGACTGCTTGACTTCCGGCAGGTTAAACAAGCACATGCCCATTCCTTTCTCCAGGCTGGCCTCCAGGTCCCTCCTGCTGCAGCTGCTGAACACCATGGGGAATGGGTACCTGAGAAAGAAGAGCCCAGAAGAGTCAGTCCTCAGGGAGCAGAATGGCTTTCCCTGCCCTTTTTGAGCTGCTCAGGGTGCCACTGCCTGCATCTGCCTCAACATCTGTGTCCGCTGTTGGTCTCAACGGACAAAGGCAGAAGTACTCAGTGCTTAACAAGGGGCTCTGAGCTACATCAAGATATTCACCCTGTACAATGTCAGTGCCCTGGTGAGGAAGTGCTTTCAAAAGAAAGGATCTTTGGATGGTTTTCAAGTCAGCAAATTCAGACAGAGTCTCATAACAGACCTTGTTAATAGGTCTTGATAAACTGGTACAATGCAAAGTGAATTCTTACAGTTTGTAGCTTGTAATATGAACATGTATCAATGTCCTTATTGGAAGTGCAAAGAAGAAACGAATACAAAGCGTTGTGCTTATCAATTCCATGTTTACAGTGATGCAGCCCCCAACACAGGTCAGGAGTTGCCAATACTGGCATTCAGGTCTGTAAGGTCAAACTACCACCTCCCCCAAGCACAGCCACCAGAGAGCAGAAGGGGTCCCAGAATGCAGGTCCTCTCTGGCCCCTAGGCACCAGGGCCACAAAGGGCTGGGGCAGAGGCACCCGCTGCCTAGCAGTTTTTGCCCTGGATGGGCTTCCAGGGTGGGCTGTGCACTAGTTCTTTTTTGTTGTTGTTGGTGGCAGTACACACAATCAAACATACATCCACTCACAATTCTACATGGATATTTCAATGACATTGGTTACATAGTTCACACTGTCACCATTCTCAGCCTCTCTCTCTCATCTGTCCTTTAGATGAACTACTGTCATTTTGAACTCATACAGATACTTCTTTATAAAAGCACAGTGCTCAAGGCAAACACTGTTTATTAGCTGAGCTAAACTGTTGTTTCGTTTAACTATGGCTTCATGGGATAATTTTGGTTCAAGGTTTAAAGATTATTTCTGGGCAGTAGCCTTGGGGGCTCCCCCGGTGTCAATGGTTACAGCAAGTCTGGTTTCCATATGAATTGGAAGATCTGCTCCACAATTTTCCTCCTTTTGATTAGGATCCATCTATTGGGTTCTTGATCAAAATGCTGAGTAACGATAGCTGGGTACCATCCATTTCTTCTGATCTCATGGCAAATGGGCACTAATTCTTGACAGGGGAATGTGAGCAGAAGGGATGTGGGTCCCCTCTGGTTGAAGGTATTTAAGATGCGGGTGCCCTTTTTCATGTCGCCTCTTTTCCCTTCTGTCTCCTGACTCAGGGTATCCCAAGGTCCTCAGAGACAGAGGAGCCAGACACGGAACTTGTGCTGACTCCCGGCACTGAGGAAAGCCATCTACAGCCCAGAACCCCAGAGGGCCGTACGGAAGGGGAACACACTTCTATTATCGAAAGCCACTAAAAATGTGGGGTTTCTTTCTTACAGCAGCTGGTGTTACCCAACATGTACAGTGTGTCTCACATTCTTTCACGAGCGTATTTTCCATGTGTCAGGCAGCAAGGATTATAAGGGAGAAGATGCCAGAAACCCAGAAGGTTTTATTACTTAATGAGAGAGCAGGGTCTGCTGTCCAGTGGGCCCAAGCGCTTCCCCCTCCCCCACGGGGACATTTACAGAATGACATTACACTTGGATCTCAATCAATTGGCCAAGCTGATGCAAGCTGTTATGTTTCCACGAAGATATCAGACTCCACCCACGGTGCAATGATTAGGCTTGGCAAGATTTCAAAATCATCACAATTTCCTCTGCCAAACTGATAACACTGCTCTACCTCTCCAAGTGTTTTCTATCAATCTCAGGTTATTAACTCGGGAGTATAATTCTAATCTACAAATAAATGAATAATTTGCATCTGTCGGATGCAAAGGCAATCAGCCAGAACTTGCCTTCATGCAGCCCTGCAACGATGTTTCTTCTGAAATCTTTCTAACTCCCCTTGGCAGACAGATTGATTCAAATGTGGTCCCAGACCTGCCTGCTCCCCCTTGCCTGACCTCCGCCAAGCTCCTTCCCTGCTGGCCTTGCTCATCTCACCCACTGCCTCTTCATCCAGTCTCCAAGGTCACCACTAAGATTCAGCTCCTCCAGGAAATGGCCCTTGAAAACTCCCAGCCCTCAGATACACGCATGCTATTTCTGCCACATACAGGGTCTACCAAATACAATTTCAGCCCCATGCTTTGCCATTAGTTATTGTTCCCTTCCCATGTCGTCTTGTGTCCTCCACAAGATCATCAATTCCTAAGAGTAGGATGAAGATCAAAGACCACAGCCTTCAGTATGGATTACACCTCAACATAAAGAAAACAAAACTCCTCACAACTGGACCAACAAGCAACGTCATGATAAACGGAGAAAAGACTGAAGTTGTCAAGGATTTCATTTTACTTGGATCCACAATCAACGCCCATGGAAGCAGCAGTTAAGAAATCAAAAGACACATTGCATTGGGCAAATCTGCTGCAAAAGACCTCTTTAAAGTGTTAAAAGCAAAGATGTCACCTTGAGGACTAAGATGCGCCTGACCCAAGCTGTGTTACTTTTAATCGCCTCATATGCATGTGAAAGCTGGACAGTGACTAAGGAAGACCGAAGAAGAACTGATGCCTTTGAATTATGGTGTTGGTGAAGAATATTGCACGTACCACGGACTTCCAGAAGAACGAACAAAACTGCCTTGGAAGAAGCACAGCCAGAATGCCCCTTAGAAGCGAGGACAGTGAGACTCCATCTTGCTTACTTTGGACATGTTATGAGAAGGGATCAGTCCCTGGAGAAGAACATCATGCTTGTTAAAGCACGGGGTCAGTGAAAGAGAAAAAGACCCTCAACAAGATGGACTGACACAGTGGCTGCAACAATGGGCTCTAACATTGCAACAATTGTGAGGATGGCGCACGATCGGGCCATATTTCGTTCTGTTGTTCATAGGGTCACTATGAGTCGGTACTGACTTGATGACACCTAAGAACGATAACAAGACTAGGAACTGGGGAAAATAAATTTTAGGGGGGATAACTATTTACTGAGTGCCTGTTTTAAGCCAGGTGATATGGTGGATGCTTTTCATAGTAATATTTCTCTTTCTTCTTTGGTGTGCTCTTTCTTACATGAATTTAAATTCACAAAACAGTCCAATGAAACCAACATTACCATCCTCATTTTGCAAAGGAGGTAAGGGGACTTGCTTAAGGGTTCACAGTTAGGGGGTGGCAGAGACTAGATGGGACCATGCACTGATTTCCAGTTCAGTAATTAGAGAGACATTTTCTCCTTACTGATGCCAACTCCACACTGGATTACTGGCGGTGAACAGCTGAGATGTGGAGGGTGATCAATCAGCCCCGGAGGCACTGATTCAGATACAGAGGACACGTCCTTCCATTACCCAACGCATGCCTAGACCAGCGGTTCTCAAAATGTGGGTCAGCATCAGCAGCACCTGCTCACTTACTAAAAATGCAAAATCTCAGATCCTACCCCAGACCTACCGAGTCAGCAAAGCTCTAGGGTGGGGCCTAGCAGCCTGTGTTTTTTTCAATTGAGGTAAAATTCACAGAATGTAAAATTCATCATTTGAACCATTTTAAAGTGTACAAGTCAGGGACTTCTCGTACATTCACAAGGTTGTGCAACCATCACCACTAGCTAATTCCAGAACATTCTCCGCACACCATACCCTTAAGCAGCTGCTCCCCATTCCCCGCTCCCCCAGTCCGAGTCAACCACTAATCTACTTCCTGTCTCTGGGGATTTGCCAATTCTGGACACGTCAGATAAATGGAATCATACACCACATGGCCTTTTTGCGTCTGGCTGCTTTCACTCAGCGTAGTGTTTTCAAGGTCCACCCATGTTGTAGCAACTATCAGAACTTCATTCCTTTTCATGGCTGAATAATACTCCACCGTATGGACAGACCACACTTTGTTTATCGAGTCATCTGCCGATGGTCCAGGTGACTCTGACGCCTATTAAAGTTTGGAAACAACTAGCCTAGATTTGAAATGCAAATATTGTTGTAAAGCTAACATATGGACAAACCCACAACCATTTATTAAAAAAAAAAAAAAAGAAATGCAAACCAGGCTCATGTAGGTCATCCTTCATGCACTTTACTTAGAAACTGTTCTGTTTGGCACCATGGGTCCCCTGTCTGAGAAAAGTACAGTGTAGAGCATTTTGAAAACCTCCTCTGATTTTTGGCATGTGCTCAATCCTGTGTGTTATCTCTTAAAGCCAGGTTCAAACTATGCGTGACTTTTCCAATACTTTCGTGAGTTATGGTGAAATGACTGACTCATTAGGAACCTACACACGAATTAAACCCAAACCCAAACCCACTGCCGTCGAGTCAATCTCGACTCACAGCAATGCCAGGTGTTACAGAGTAGAACTTCTCCACAGGGTTTTCTTGGCTGTAATCTTTAGGGAAGCAGATCACCAGGCCTTTCTTCCATGGTGCTGCTAGGCGGGTAAGAACCGCTACCAACCTTTAGTAGATTAGTCCCGTTGCCGTCGAGTCGATTCTGACTCATAGTGACCCTACAGGACAGAGTAGAACTGTCCCATAGAGTTTCCAAAGAGCAGCTGGTGGATTTGAACTGCTGAACTTTTGATTAGCAGGCATAGCTCTCAACCACTGTGCCACCAGGGCTCCTTAGGAGGTTAGTAGCAGAGTACAAACTGTTTCTGGCATTCAGGGACCTTTGCCCACTAATTAACGTGCCAGAAAAGGTTCTGATTCTGAACAGAGTGATGCTTCCTATCTTGTTATCTAGCGCTGCTATCACAGAAATACCACAGTGGGTGGCTTTAACGAACAGAAATTTATTTTCTCACAGTTAGGAGGCTGGAAGTCCAAAATCAGGGTGCTGGCTCCAGGGGAAGGCTTCTCTGTCTGTTGCCTCTAGGGGAAGGTCCTCGGCTCTTCAGCTTCTACTCCTTGGCTCCTTGGTGATTGTCACGTGTCCTGGCATCCATCTTCCCCCACCTCT